TAGACGAAGAATTCTGTCAAGTGTACATGGACGATCTCTTGGTCTTTAGCAAGAATGAAGAGCAGCATGTTGATCATTTAGGGCGCGTATTCGATAGGTTACGGCAATTTGGGTTGAAATTATCAGTGGAAAAGTCGATTTTGGGACAGGACCAGATAACCTTTTTGGGACATTCCATTTCGAAGGAGGGGATCAGGCCCGATAAACAGAAGGTTGAGGCAATACGAAATATGGCGATGCCCAGGGATGTAAAAGGTATCCGCAGATTATTAGGAACCCTAAACTATTACCGTCGGTTCGTGCCGGAAATGGCGGAGTATTTAGCACCTCTTAATAACCTTTTGAAGAAAGGCCGGAAGATTGCAATAACGCCAGCAATAGAGGATAACGTAAGAAAGTGCATGGCAAGGTTACAAGAGAAGCCGGTACTCGCTTTTCCCGATTTTACGAAGACATTTGTCATTACCACGGATGCGAGTGAGTATGCGTTGGGGGCGGTACTTGCTCAAGAAGGAAGTAATGGGGAACAACCGGTAGCATATGCAAGTCGGCGGCTTACAGACGCGGAAACGCGGTATAGCGCCCTGGAGAGGGAACTCCTGGGCATAGTATGGGCAGTAGGGCATTTTAGGCCATATATTTTTGGCAGAAAGTTTAAAGTCCATACCGATCACAGACCGCTGCAATGGGTCGGTAATCTGAAGGAATCGTCAGCAAGGGTCACCCGGTGGAAGCAATTTCTAAGCCAGTACAATATGGAGGTCATGTACAAACCGGGTAAGGAAAATGTGGTAGCGGACTGGTTGTCCAGAGCCATCATGATAAATGCCATCGAGGAGGAAGAAGGGGAGTCGTCAAGGGATGTGCGGCAGTTTTTAAGAACGTGGACACCGGAAGGTGAAGGGGAACCTGGGGACGTGGGGGCAGAGGAGTCGAGAGGAGAAGAGAGCTCGGTAGACGAGAGGCCTACAGACATGGAGGAATGTGAGGAGATCGTCAACGATAAGAGACGACAGGTCATTTGGAAGACCAGAACGTCGGGGCTCATGAAGATCGACTTCAGTAAATACGGCAAGAAGAAGATTAACACCATTTGGTCCCAACCAGGGGTGAAAGAAGAAGAGATCTGTAAGGCTTTGCACGACGCTTCAGAGTCGGGGAAAACTCACCATTTGTATGTGGGCAATGCGACCGTCTGGGAGAAGATCAAAAAACTCTGGAGAGCAGAGAAGATAGGCGTTGACAGGTCGTTCATTAAATGCAAATACCTAGTTGAAACATTAATGGACAAGGAGCAGCAAAAGGAAGTAACGCTGGCACATCACCAGGGCAAGACCAACCATAGGGGGGAACAGGAAACGTTTCAAGCGTTGCGCAGAAGATATTTTTGGGATGGCATGAGGAAGACAATTGCTGAAATCATTGGGAGATGCGCAGTGTGCGCGCGTACTAAATACGATAGACGGCCACCTCAAGGATTGCAGGAGGAAACCCCTACGGGAGACATGCCATTGAAAGATGTGCAAATTGATACATTTACGTGGAGGGGGTTTAAGTGGGTTACAATGATCGACCTCTTTAGCAAGGTAGCAATGACACACCAAGTACGAGATAAGTTGTCGGAGGCGGTTGTGGGGGCTCTACAAACGTGGGCCCAGTTCTACGGAGTGCCTGATCGCATAACGTCGGACGGAGGGAGGGAGTTCGACAATAGTACCGTGCGTGAGGAGGTTAAACGATTGGATATAGCTTGGCATTTTAATACTCCAGGACATACAAAGGGCAGAGGAAATATAGAGAGGTTGCACAGCACGTTAAGCGACCACCTACGTATTTATCAAGGGGAGCAAGGATTGGAAGGAGATGTAGCCATGAAAAGAGCAGTAGCGGCCTATAATCATTCAATCCATTCCGTTACAGGGTTTTCTCCGGTCGAGGTATTGTTTGGAGTAAATATACGGCGACGGGATTGGATGGAAACACTCACGGACGAGGCACAAGCTCAACGGATCACGTGTAACAGGGCAGAGATAAGGAGAGTATGGGAAAAAACGAGAGGAAAAATAGAGCGGGAAAAACGGAAGAGGGTGGAGAGGGCCAATCTGAACCTCAAGGACAGAATGGGGGACTTGAAGATAGGGATGACAGTCTATCGTAGGGTAGGTTCTAATAGGGGGAAAGAACTGGCACGCTACGATGGACCATTCAAAGTGATCGTACTTCGCGAACACAATCTTTGTACCATTCAGAGTTTGAACGATCCTAGGAAACGACGGACCGTTCACATAGAACAATTGAAACTTCCGATAGAGTCGAGTCAGTTGTAAATAAGTGGTATATCCTCTTTTTTGTCTCCTACAAGCTATGGAAGGTTTATTTCATTTGTAGTTTTATTAGTATGCAGAAAATTCTAAATTATTTGTTCTGTCTATTGTCACTCGCCAAAGAAATTATAATATTTTTTTAGTTTTTTATGTAATAATCACTAGCCCTGCGTTATTTATAGATTGTTCATAAACTTGCGGGGATTATTGTTAATTATAAATATATTAGTTAATCCATTCAATAAATGAAACAAACCTAATGCATAATATAAAGCCTTACGAAGAATACAATCATTCATATAGTTTGAGCAATCCACTTCTATCTCAAGCCTTCTTTCACTTTTTTGTCTTTCCTCACTTCGAACCCGCCGTAAGTTATATATATAATATGTATCAATTATCATTTTTTGATTGTATATGTGGTTATGATAACCACCGTACCTCTAGTACTCAGTGCCCTTAAGTGGGGCAAAATGTATTATTTATCAATAAAAAGACCTAAAAGAAAAAAAAAATCATTTATATGGTTTTGAGAATCCTGTGGCCCTTCGTCGTGACAATTCTGGAAAAAATAAAAAAATAAAAAAAATAATATGCTTAGAAGCAGTCTATATCTCCGAGATCCACGAAAGCATTATAAATTTTAAAACGGATATCATACATTTTTCCGCATATAATAAACATACACAATTTTTGCCGGATACAATTTCTTCTAGGAAACAATTAGAATCTGAAATCAATAATTTTGTATTTCATATTTTTTTCTTTTTAAGTTTTCCCTCTCAGCGAATATAATTGGCATTCAAAGCCCTTTTACTTCCATAGATTCTGCAGTCACACCTCTGTAAATAGATTTTTCATATATCGATAACTTTGTTTTTAAGAGTTCCTGAATTTTACTCGTGAAAAAAATTAGATAAATGGAATATCATTTGTATACTAGTTGGCCCGTGCGAAAAATTCTCGGAAAATTTTGTTTAGTGAAGAAATAGCAAAACAATATGGAAATAAGTAGTTCCTATGCATTATGTAAGGAAGGAATTAATATTTTTTCCATGGTCGATTGCAGTATTCCATTAAACATAATTGACCAAAATATTTGTACAAATTGCTTTGCTAGGACCTATTTATAAACACTGGCTGGAAAGATAATAAAAGTAATATAGACAAAATAATGTCCCGATCATGGGATATTCTAAATTATTAAAAAAAATAAAATGTAAGAACCAAATGTCTTTAAGAAACAATAAAGTTAAGATATCAGCCAGAAAAAAAAATGTAGTAGACTATTCTACTCCTAAATGCAATATCTTTAAAACAGAAGACATTATTAAGTATACCAAAACTAATGGACTGCGTCTTTGTTAATCATTGGCAGATTTTATTTTTTGATCGGAATGAAAATTCGTATTCGAGGATCTTTCGAGTTGCGAAATACAAATCTCAACTCTGTTTCTCCTTAAAAAAATATTTCGATACACTTTACTCCTTCCGTCAATACGAATTGTTTAAATTATTCATATTTCTTATTGATTTTTATGATTTTATTTTTATTTTTTTGTTTTGTAGGTAATTTAGTAATCTTTCTAATTATCATGGGTACAATCGAGAAAAAAATGCATACTTTTTGAGTTATTCGCAAATAAAGTTTCTTTTCCTTCATAATTTTTTCCCCAGAAATTTCGGGAGTATAGGACTATTTTTTGCATGTGAAGGAGAAGAATATCTTCAAAATGAGTGGTCAATCATTAGATTTGATGAAGAACTGTCGTACCGACAAAAATACACTGTTTAGATATAATATATATATATATATATATATATATATATATATATATATATATATATATATATATATATATATAATATATATAATATATAAGTATAAACGTTTCCATGGCTGTCTAATTATACGAAACTTGCTATTTAAATTCATCTCATTATGAATATGGTGTACATTCCATAAATTAGTCAATGTAATTATATTAGAATAAGTAGTTCGGTAAGATGTTTATGTGTGCATATAATTATTGTGGTTTTCATATTAAGAGAATAAAACAACTTTTTTTTGTTGTTTTCCATTTTTGTTTATAGTTCTTAAAAACATTAGTAGTGACAAAGCTTTGTAATCAACTCCCTAAAAAACATAAATAAATTTTCAAAACTTTATAACGTCTTTTTGGTTACATTTGAATGGACTAAAAATTAATCCAAGGATATTCTATTTCGGGTGGGAATGTTTACTATAACTTCTATAGCAGGAATAATAAGCGATATTTAAATTAAGATAGAACCTTCTGGTCTAATTAAGCTATGACACAGAACAACAACGTTCGACTTCACAATTGCTAATTCGTAATGAATGACTACCAGAGGTAAAGCGTGCAAACAGCTGGGAGGACCACTGGGGAAAACCAGGAAGATTCATTAGTGCAACGATTTGCATCACAAAAACTCGAAGCCATCAGTCTTTGTCAGAGGTCGGCGTGTCAGCGAATGCTAAGCGTCAGATTCTTTTGTGGCTACTGCTTCATATGAGTGAAGGTTCGACCCAAGGAGATGTTTTTAAAACTTCTCCGAATTAGCTTATGAGCCTTTTCTATTTTTTGTCAAAGCCTTAAAGGTATTGTAGATACGACCTATTTCTGATTCGATTCAATCGCCTCCAGGGGTACAATGCCAATGTTTGGAAATATCACTATCGGAAGAATTGCAATTGTAGAGCAGAGGTGGAAAGGTGTGCATATTAGGCCCAAGGAGAGATTTTCCGGCCTGGAAAGTGGCTTTCACTGGGTGCAGCGTGCCGCCTGCAACTGTCTCCCGGTTACATCGTACCGCGACGTCCGCACGAAACTGACATTGACGTCTGGAGGAATGATTTTCATAATGATAACAGACTAACCAGATGACTAGTTGGTGGTTCATAATGAGGTGTAAGCATGCGTTATTTTTTACACAAAATACTCTGTAGTAATGGGTCACCAGAATTAATAGTTCACCGAGCAGCTTTAGGAAAAAAAAGAAGAATTCTAGCATTCCTGGAGGCGTTGTGATATGAGATGAAATAGCCTTATTATGTAACTAACCAAGGCTGTTGATAATATAGGGTGTCCAGTCTATATATGTACACAAGAAACGATTTCTTAACTATTTTCAATGAAATCATGTATTGATAGCTTGCATAAGGTCGCAATGTAGATCATCCAGTATGTGTTAACATGTATGTTGTATTATGGTATAAACTTCATTTCTATACAATCTATTAAAACAACGTAAAGTGTGCAACGGCTTGAAATGGGGTAGAATAATATCTTCAGAATTACTTGATTATTTACCTGAAACTAAAAATACCACAGGTCACTAGTTAAATATTGAGAAATATTATTATTATTTCGTTTAGTGATAGATAGTAGTTTTTTTTTTTTTTATTCATGAGATTTACAACTGTATAAATTAAAAATACATCCAGTAAATGTGCACACGGTAATAATACAATCACATGAAAACGCTTCTTGAGAAACAACCCATTGGTAGCACTCTAGATAGTAGTTTTTAACTTAGAAATTTCAAGCTTAAAATTTGTACCTCATACATTTTCATATCTATATACATATTCATTATTTCATTTAATTCACCTCTTGATAAAGGTTATTTTCAATCTGCTATTTTATTTTACCATATGTATTTATTTAAAATTCACAAATTTTTTGTTAATTTGTATCTTTATTTTTTTATTTATAGTAGGATCATTCCATTTCTAAGAACAGTTAAGTTGCCAACGTTTCACCAATTAAGGCATCATGAGGCAAGAAAAAATAAGATCACATATATGCAGAATGAAAGAAAGAGAAGAAAAAAAATATACTATTGACATCTCACCAAGACATCCAAAAACATGTTGAAGGGAAAAGGAGATAAATATTATAATTTATAAGTTATGAATTGTTTTATAGGTTATAAAACAACCGATTAGCAGAGATAAAGAAAAAAAAACCCATTTAATGTTAAAAAATGGTTTATTTTCCTTTATCAGGAAAGGTAGCTAATCAGCTGTTTTATATAATCTTTCTCTCCCATTCCCTTCAGTATTTATTTGTATGGCTTGGTGAGATGTTCATAGCATATGTTTTTTTTTCTTCCTCTTTTTTCCCCTATCTCTTTCTTTCTTTCTGCATATACGTGATCCTGTTTTTTCTGACCTGATGATACCTGAATTGGTGAACCGTTGGCCAGTTAACTGTTCACCTGCATATTAGACACTTATGACTTAACATTTAATTGCATACAATTATCGTTGAATATAAACTATAATTTCAATAATACGGACATAAGGCGTGATGAAATGTTTGCTCTCTACTTCTAGGCCTTAGCTTAACCATTCAATCGATTTCTCCTATTTGTTAATCTTATAATTATTTTATTTAAAAATTTTGTTTAAAATATTTTATTCATTCGTATAGATTAATTTTTATTTCTCATGCTTCTATTTTTATTAGGAGGCAATCCCTCCCCCTTATCACCCTGAAGTCTGCGCCGTTAACTTGAGAAATTAATTTAATTTTTTAGGGAGGATATGACGTCATTGCCTTGGGCACCGAATGCTTAATGCTTAATGCTGGATACCGTTTAAATATAGAAAAAAAAAGAAATTATTGCAACTATAACAATATTCATTATATCAAAATACTTTGACAAGTGTTTAATCAGACAAAAAAAAAGAGAGATGAAAATGCTTTTGCAATACATTTACTGATGGTACACTAACTATCAGCTTAAACTTGAACATCATAAAAATTTTGAAAAAAAAAAACGAAAAAAATTAAAACAAAAGAGTCTCCAGTTATCAAATTGTGTTATCAAGTTCCATCGAAAACTGGTCTAAGAGTAATATTTTCTTGAAATTCTCTCTAACGGTGACGCCAGAAGTTATATGCATATTTATAAAACTGCTTATAATATTTAGGTAACGCATTCTGAAAAATGGCTTGAGCCATTTAATGCAAAGAGGGCATCTTACTAAAGACTCTTCACACTGCATGCGGCCTTCGTCGTCATTAGTTGAGATTCAAAAAGACACTTTTCTCATTTTGGTCAGCACATCGAGTTATACCTGGCTTCCAGTTCAATTGAAGATAAATAAGGTTAGGAAAAGTTGTTTTATTTTTTATTTGGCAATATATATATATATATATATATATATATATATATATATATATATATACATATAGCCAAAATATGTCAAGCCGAAAGAAATACGAATTTATAGGATCGAATTAAACAACTTATATTGATACTATCAATATTAATTCAAATTAATACAGATATAAATAAAAACAAATAGTTCAAGGCACATTGAAACTACAGCTCTCGGACCGAATTAACAGAAAAGAACTCGATAACCCTGACCGAGGCATCGCAGTCTTACATTATCTGAAAAATTCTATATCACATGTGGATTCAGCCTAAGATATCTACCATCAAAGGATTACAAAAATATAACGGAAGCTGGGATTCATGGAGACTGGCATAGGAAGGATACAATGACTAACATGTGACGTGATGCTCACTGCTATCGCGTAACTGTGGAAATAAATAGAAAAAAAAAATTGTATTATCATCCATATTGCTTTCTTTCAAGGCAGAACAAAGTGGCAGCGGACAATCGCTGCTCAATGGGCTGTCGGGTCCCTTGGCCTAGTTGGCGCTCCTTGGATATTGGCTGTTCCTGCAAATTTTTGCACTCTGTCACGCTACAGGAAGGAATGCGCTTTGCTGCACCAAAATGCAATAGCGTTTCCTAGTGTTTTTGCGTTAGTATATTTTCTCAAAACTCTACTTCGGTTTTTGCAAAGTGCTAAGTTAAAATTGTCCTAACGTATTATTTTTTTTATATATTTTAAGGTCTTGCTGAGCCTTTCTTAGTTTTGTTTATCTTTATGTCTGGACTTTCAATCTGGGTGATGGGGCTCACCTCTATCTTGATAATTTTCTTAGGACTATCTTATAATCTAACTTACATTTATATTTTGCCATCGCCAAGGAGGTGGCGGAAATGTTATTGTATTGAATTCTGCATTTGTTAAATATTTTAAAGAATCATAGAATTTTATTATTCTTTTGTTTATGAATTTAGATACGGGGGGTAAATTTAAGAAGGCGTGAAGTTTATCTGATTTTTGTTTTTCAAATGACGTATTTTTAGTTATTCTGATTAGAATTACATTTTGGAATCGCTGAAGTCTCTTGCTTGTATTTTCGGAAATGTGGGACAATAGAGGAGTACCGAAGAGAAGGGAAGGGCGAAGAATGCTTTTGTAGATGATTAATTTTAATCTGAGACTGAGGTTTGAGGTTGTGAGGAGGTGTCTGAATTTGTAGGATTTTGTCTTACTTTTGATAATTTTGAAGTGCAACGAGCGGTAAATTTTAGATTTCTGTCAAATTTCATTCCTAGATAGACCAAATTATTGATATTTTGTTGTATGAATCACCAACTCGAAATTTTTTAGGTAATTTTTTCTTATTTTTTTTAAACGAAAATATTATACAATCGATTTTTGTAAAATTTACTTGGATATTTAACAATTTACGTCCATTTTGTATGACATTGCAGGTTTCTTCCGCTTGTTTTAATGCTTTTGAAGCGTTCATGCTGCTACTGCATATAGCAATGTCGTCTGCGTATGCCATTACAGATGCCTTCGTATAATTTTTGCCAATTATGTCAGCAGTGTAAATGGTGAAAGGACTGCACCTTGAGATACTCCACATGTCAAACGTATTGCAATTGAGTAATTAACACCAACATTTACAGTCAGACTTCGGCCATTGAGGAACGGCACTCGAGCATCCTAGTCGTATATATATATATAAACACGTTTTTTGGAAAAATGTCGTTCCAATATTCAGTAGACTTGATGAATCTAACTTTAAAAAGGTTGAAATATTTTGTGTAATTGACAAAGAGAAATGAATGCTGAGGCTATCACATAGTGTTACGGGATCAACCCCTGAACCACAAAGAAAACACAAAAGAAAAACAAATTATCTTTCTCCAGTAATTCAACATCATTTTATTGGCCACAATTTTGTGCACAACAGTTTCTGCACTGTTAGCCTGATTCTATAAAAGTAAAATATTATCAACCTTATTCTTCTTTGTGGAGAGAAAATCATTACATTTTAATCATCATTATATAGCATTTTTTAATTTCCTACCTATACTAGGTAAGGAAAGTATTGCAATGGGGTCAAATTTCCGACATGCGGTTTTCGACGGATCTATACGTTTCAGAGCCCCCTGAGTCGGAAAAACACATTTTAAGCCAACATTTTCTGGGGAACTACTGAACCAATTTTGTTGCTTCTTTTTTTGTTTTGTAGGGTGTTGACTACTGATGTCTGTGACAGAAATTCGGTGTTCCATGCGCAATAGCTTGCGCGCAATAAATGAAGAACATGTTTTTCTATAGACTGTAGCGCAAAAACGGCTGTAACGATTTTGATGAAACTTTCCTATAACGGAACTACTGAACCGTAGCCTGTCATTTGAAAGATAATGAAATTCCCTAAAAAAACATGTAAGAATCGTTCATATTGGACAACTATTAACGAAGTTACAACTATTCAATTTCCAATGTACGATTACCGTTTCATATCCTGTTGCCCGCATCACACAATCTTCACTATTTTCTCTATTTTTAACAGAAATTATTGTTGGGCAATCCTAAGCTATGGCAAACAATTTTTCATCAGCAATATTAGGAAGTATTGAAATTTTTACACTGATCTACCCTTCTTATGCTTGATCAATTTTCAGGAAAATGTATCTAGTTCAATTCTTTTTTGTTTCTTCATGAATATATGTAAAGATATAAAAACTTTTCTGACATAGGTAGGAAAGTCGTGTGAGTGGACACACCAGATATTTTTTAAATGAACATCTTATTTCTTTATTGAGTATTATCATGTCCTGTCAAATTTAAGGACACTAATATTAGTGATAGAGTAGCTCATTCACTCTGCATGTACAATATATAAAAATAAATTAAATAGCAAAATAATAATACTTAAAGTAAATTGAAAGATAATTTTATTGCAAAAACAACATAAGTTTCTGTCCAGTGAGAACGTAATAGCATTTATTGAAAAATTGTATTATTTTATTTATTTATTTTTTTTGTTTAACTTTATGCATGGATTTTTATTATGCATGGTTTCCCCCAAAAAAATTTGGCTCTGCTCCAATTCGTCAAGTTCCATTCTGCTGTCATGATAGAAGCTACATTAGCCTAACAAAATAGAAATAAACCTAGATCATCTAGTATATGCTTTGAATTATTGATAAGATTGATAAGAATTCTGTTGTAATATCCCAACCTTGAGAGGTCCATCAACAGGTGACCACACATCCGGTCTATCACCTACGCGGAGAGCCGAGTCTCCATTCATCACGGAAAAGCGGAAATGTTCCGTTACTGATAATATGAAAATGTTAACATTTATACCGCATGTTCTCAACATTCCTTCCGTGTCCTTCACGTACGTACCGAAGCGAATTTTCACTTTTTCTTCATCTAGTCGCATTTAGTAGGAAAAAGGCATTTCTTTTTTTTAAAAAACTATTAGTACAATTATTTTCCTTTTCCAATTTAGTATTTTGAATTACCATTACTAATAACCGTTTCCTTCCTACAACGAAAACTTTTATGTTTATCAAGTATTAGCACGATCGTTTCATTAACTTTTTGGGTCTAATTTTCGTTATCTCTCCTTAATCCAAAACAGGGTCGAATTTTCACCTTTGGAAAGAATCATTTCACTACAACAATAAAATATCTATTAATATTGTATGAAAAACTAACTATGATCAAACATGGCTGCCAACTATTTGTTATGAAGACTAGCAAGAAGTCTACTAATTTTTACAGACGGTTTTATCCATTCCTATCCTCGGACCTAAAACAAAGACACTCCAGATATAATTAACTACATAACTATTGGGGTCATCCTTAATATAACATTTTCAATTATTATAAATGTCTATAAAAATGGAGGACACAAAGATTTTTTTGGAGTCTGTGGTTGGTTGAATATTAAGATGGATTTCGAAACAATTCAGTCAAATTTTTATAAATTTATAGATACCGTAAATGCAATGGATCTAGGCAAATTAAAAGGTTCATAATAATGAACGTTCGTAAAAAATATTTTGTATTGTTTACTAATCGTAAAAGTAATATTATCTAGAAAATGGTTTTCATTTAAGTTGGGATCAAAATTTAGGGGTATGTGAATCAAAATAATAGGATAAAAAGTTTTGCTGACTCCGTATATAGACAGCATAGTGAATTTTCACATTATCTTCTAATAGGTTTTAAGCTCCAAGTTGAGATGGAAGATTAAGCTACAGTTTTGTCGCTACTGGCGTTTGTAAACATAAATAAATATGTTAACCGATTGAATATTATTTAATCACTAATCCTAAGGCTCAGAGTCAATTAATAACAGGTAACTCTAACATCATAAAAAATATATTTTGTTTTTATTATTCCACAAATAGAGACATTGCCATTATACGAAGTGGTTGAATGTTGTTAGTTTTTAAGTACAGAAATACAATCTAGAATGACTGTACTGTTAAATGAAAAACTGAACGAAATAACCTCTACAGTCCGCATTTGGTTAATGAAATCGGTAAAGCTTTTTTAAGATTACAAAATAAAAGTCTATATCATCATTTCTCGTTGTTTTTAGAACAAAGCTAAACATTCTAATGATAGTTCTAGCAAAACCATTTGTTTCTTAAAATAAAGAATAAGCGGCTTTCACTACTTTACCTATAATCGCCTCACTTCTGTAGTGAAAAAAATAACAATCATAACAATAATAATAAATCGATAGTCTATTTTGTGATATGGTACATACCATTTTAACTTTGCAGCTCTTCATGGATGGTATATATTATAAATTATTAAATGTCAATGTCGATTTACTTTACAATGTCTTGCATACGCGGACGATATTTTTATCATCGCTCGCACATTGCCGGCCCTGGCAGGATCTATCGAAGAATTCCATGCGTTTGCAATGCAATTTGGCCTGAGGATAAATGAAGGGAAAAGTCTTTACATGAAGTCCTCAAAGAATAATGTAGTTAGCACTTAGCATGAATATGTTCAAATTTATCAGCACCTTTGTCCAATGTGAACATAATTCAATTACCTCGGAGTGATTGACCAGACCAAAATGCAGGCCGAAATTAAGGCCAGAATTACAGCTGGCAATAAGTGTTTTTGTGTCATAGTAAAAATATTTAAATCCAAGAAACTTACCTGGAATACAAAAGTAATAATTTAAAAACCATTATACCGAGTGTGAAACACGGGTTTTGACACAGAAAAGTGAGAGGTTGCTGATAATCTGGGAAAGAAAAGTCCTAATGAAAATATACGGTCCGAAGAAAATAAATGACCAGTGGTCAATACGGAAAAATGACGATCTCTATGAGCTGTATAAAAATAACGATATTGTAGCCATACTCAAAAGGAGCCGGCTCAGGTAGCTAGGCCATGTATAGAGAATAGGTTTCCTAGAAAACATCTCTATAACCGCCCAAGAGGAGCACGTCTTACGGGAAGACCTGCGATGGATCAACGACATGGAGGAGGACCTCAGCCTCATGGGTATCAGAAGATAGAGAAGAATAGCTGGCGATAGGAAAGCCTCGCTTAAGCTTGTTTCTGACACCCAGGTCCATAAGGACTGTAGAACAAATTAATAATAATAAATGTCAAAACTT